AGTATTTATCATCTCCTCTTGAAACATTTCTGAACCAGAAGTCAGCAATACCTTTTCTTCTCATGTGTCTGGGATACCCTATTTATAGATGGTTAGAGATAAACCGCAGCATCAGGAGTAACGAGGGCAGAGAAGCAGCAGCTAAGGTTTTTAGTTTTGTGTCTTAATTAAGAAGCAGGACAAAGATTTAGAAAGTAAACAGACCAGAGACCTCTCAGCAAAATAGTAACTGAAATAATGTCAAATGAATTTGGAGGCACATTTCCAAAGCGTAATGGATTAAACCCAAATTTGCAATGTGTACTTACCCACTAAAGGCTGCCGTTTACCTTCTTCAATTTAATCACAAGGGGTGGGAGGGAAGGAGAGAAGAAAAATTGCAAGAAACTGGTCATTGAGAAGAATATTAACAAATACTCAGGTAATGCTTCGTGGGTTGTTGTTTTTCCTCCTCCTTCCAATCAAATCATAACATGCATTCAAATTCTTAGGTCAATCATTCAATTTTTTCACTGAATTCAAATAATTTGGCTAAAGAGAACACACATGGTCATAATTTAACCGAGGTGGCACATTAATAATGACAGTCGCGTTCCCCCTATGCAAATAAACCCCGATATTATCCTTCCCTTACTACCTTCTTCAGTCAAGAAGTTGCAAGTTTTTTCTTAACACAGCAGTTTCACATGCTATAGAGTTTCTGCAAATAGTTTCAATTTTTCAGAATAATTCTGATTTAACAGACTCAAAAGACTGACTATCAAGAAGAAAGGCGATAGTTTATAATCAGTTTTGATACTTTCAATTTCTGTTTAGCAAAAACCTCCGGTTTTCTTACTTAACACAATAGTTCAAACAGTACTCATCGAAAGCCTGTTTGATTTCCTTCCAAGGAAAATGCTCTAACAATTTCTCTCCACTGTGGGAAGGGCTAAGCAACAAATGATAGTATCATTTTCCATCATCCTTTATCATTTACACAAAGTTTCTCACAAAAACATTTGTAAATTATTTCAGTTTCTTCTTCTGTGACCTGCACAACTCCTGAAGTAACCTTATTCTGACTGGCAGTAAGGCTTCGGTTTCTCTCTTCTTTCACTGTTGGTGAGAAGTAGAAATCTCAGTATTTCCACAACTTGCTGAACTTGTAGTTTCAGCTACAGAGTTTAAAAACTGTCACAGGAAAGTTCTACTTGTTTTATTGAACATGCTCAAGACAGCCATGAAAACACTGATGAGTTCTTACGGAAATGTAGCCACTGAAAGCTCAATATTGGTTTTAAAGAAAAAAAAAAAACCCAAACCAAAAGAGAAGGGAACAACAGAAGAAATGTGTGTATACTTGCAAACCAAAAGAGAAGGGGGTAACCTAGACAACAGAAGAAATGTGTGTATACTTTTTTTTTCTTCTGTTCTCTAAGAGAAACTCATCACATTATTTATGTGATATTCTGTGTCTAGTCTGGAGCATGGGCATTAAAATGTCAAAATTCATTATATTACCTTCCTTCACAATATTATTTTATTTACTCCAGGGATTACTGAAGATATTCAGAGATGCCATCCTGTTGGTCTAAATATGAATCCTTAAACATTAACAGGAACTTCTATTTGGGCACTGGAATTACATTTATGAAAAACAAAACAAAACAAACCAACCCAAAAAACCCCCCCAAAAAAGTGGAAACCATGAGTTTTTGCTTTCACACTCCAACTGTTTCTCTTTTTAATGCTGTACCCAGGTTACATCTCTTCATTTGAGGTAAAGTTGCAATTAAAATCCCTCCCCGCAATGTTTACCTTCCACAAACATTTGCAGAACTGCCCAACTAAACCAGCACATGCAAGAGTAATGTAAGTGATGGCCTTTTCACTGCAAGAGGTGGTTATGTGAGCTATTTTCAGCTAGTTGTGCTACCCTGATAACACAAACTGCTGCTCATTGACAGCTGAGAGACTCTCCCTAAAAACTAAACAAAGAAACCCCGCTAAACAAGCACAAAACTGAAAGAGCCTCCACCCACAGCTGTTAGAAGCCAGCTCAGATACAGCTAGCTACGCCTGGGTTACTTAGAGCATTTATTTTATATTAACATTCATGTAACTTAAAAATGCCAGCAAAAGGGAACAGGCCAAGCAACCAGTGTCATATTCATATGTGCTGACAGGACTATGATAATAAAATTAATTGCAAAGTCCTTTCTTAGCTAATAAAGTTCTCATATCACTAGCAAAACATTCCCATAAAATATTACAAAGTGGAGTTTTAGATCTTTTGTATCTACTCTTTTGCCCTGTAACAGCTAGCGTAACAAGCCTCTACATATCAGCAGCATTCACAAAAATGCTGTGTGTTCTGATGTCTGTAATGTCTACTGCTGCAGTAAAAAAAGACTTCTAAAAGAAGAAAGTGAACAAATAGCTTCTTGTGAAGTTGCCAAAAAAAAAGTAGAGGCAATATTAAAAAAACAAAAGAAATCAAGAGACATAAGTCTGCCAGGTCTCAGAAGACATGATTGCATTCCCCACACAAAACTGCAGTTTCCTGTTGAAGATCATCACGGTCAGACAGCAAAAACTTCTCTCTCTCCTCTCTTGTGTAATAATCTCTGCACAGCACTCCACTTCCTGCTGCATTATCAGCACTCCAAAGCCACTGCTGGAAGAGCTAAATACTCACTTGGTAGGCTGGGAGTGAATCACTCCCCGAGACTGCAGATGTGTGTGAACGTGCAGGCCCAGAATGCACATGCACACTGTGTTGTCTCTGTGCTTCCACTGCCAGTTCTGCTCTTGGGAGCCAGAATGGAATTAAAATTGACAAGAACTCTGTTCTCTGTGTCTAAAAAGCAGCTCTCCCGCTTATTTAATCTCTCTGCTAGCTTACTATTCTGGAGCCAGCAGGGAGGACACAAGGACAATACTATGTGCACCTGCGTATCAGCAATGCCTGATGTTGGTGAGTCACTAAGAACAAGAGAGGACATTTGAAAACTGCTCTAATTCTCCATTTGGAAAGCCAAGATTGCTAGCAGTATTACAACACAAAACCAAAGGAGAAAGGAGTCAAAGTCAGGGAGAGTTAACCTTGGCATTATCGGTTTAATCAGATCTCATCTTAACCCATATATATTCTGACTGATGCGACCGTAATATATGCAGACGGGACAACCGACTACAGGATGCTTTCCCCACAAAGGTATTCTTACAAGAGACACAGCTACCCTTGCTTGTGCTTCTTTGCATGACAACAAAAATTATACCCTGAAAAATAAAGCTGGTGACTATACTAGGCCAGTCTTTGCCTTTTGAAAAGTAAGTATCCGACACTAGTTTTGATGTTGTGGTCACTGTACGGCAAAGCTGACTGACTGCAATCAAACCCGACTTTGCCGTGCCATCTTAAAACTGTCTAAAGAAATATTCTACCTTCTTCCACTCCCCTGCACTGAAACAAGAACAGGTTCGATCAGGAAAGATGCTAGTAGCTTTTACAGAGAGTCTTCTCCCATGGTCCAAAGGTCACTTGTTTTGAGGGAAACCCTCCCCAAAACTTAAGTATCAAAGAGAAGAAATGGAAGAAGTCATAGATGAATACAAGCGTTATGTCTAATGCAAAGCTCATGTGGCAAACAGGAAAACACAGAGCCTTTGGGCATCCAACTACAGTTACGACAGTACTTGAGAGAGAACTGCCACACAGCTTGATAAAATACGACTGGAAGTAATTTGAGTTTATGAATGTTGTATCTCAAGTATGTGATTACATCTGAACCCTGGATCGGGTACCCAGATTGCATACTGCGATACTGGTGATTTAGTAATGCTTTCTTCTTGTTCACAAGCAGAAATTCCATAAAATGAAAATACTTCCTGAGTAATTAGGCCAAAAGCCAGCACTCAAGCACTATTGTGAGATGGAAAATACTGAGAGACAGTCATCACAACTGAAATGCAGAATACAAATACCATTCAATACACCTAATGGAGTATGGAATAAATTTCAAAACTATTTAATTAGACTACTAATAAATTTCAGTTTTCAGCTACTGAAACAAGTCTCTGGACTAAAGGAAAAACAATATTTTGCCACTCTTTAGCATGAACTTTAGCACTGAAGAATATAACTTACCCACAGGAGGCCTAAGCCTCTCCAGGTACTGCTTATCTTCGAGACTGTACGCAGTGGAGATCACTTTAGCCCCCCTGTGTTGTGCTAGCTGAATAGCTATTGTGCCGAATGGCTGCAGGGAAAAAAAAGGTAGATGAATTTATTTACAGCAACAATTTGAAGCAGTTCAAGAAAGACTGTATTGTAAAGGACATTCAGTAGAAGCCAGGAGAGTATCCAGAAATGAACTTACTCCTTCAATAAAACACATCTGAAGAGAATTTGAACAGTTACAGATGTGCTTCTGTTTCAAGTGAGGCAAAAAACCCCTTTTCATTGAGTAGGAAGCTCTGCACAAACTTTTTAGGAGTTAACTAGTCCCCCTCTTCAACAAAATAGCTCAGGTTCTACTTGAAGTAATGCAAGTACCGTAACTGCAACTTGCAGCTTCGGGCTTGGGTGCTGAAGGAACAATGCAAGTACCGTAACTGCAACTGCAACTTGTAGCTTCGGGCTTGGGTGCTGAAGGAAGAAGGAGTCCCACCAAGGAAAAAACCCAGCCACATTTAGGTTAACGAATCTTGGCTGAGGCAAGCTCCACATCTTCATTAGCAATTAAGATTGCAGTAATGCAAATGAAACTATTTATATCTAAGAGAAGTTAAAAAGCTGTGGTGGGAAAGGAATAAAAAATTAAGGCGCTTTCCTCCAGTTATGCCTGAGGGCTTAGGGTACAACTATGTCAAACAACAGAAAAGAACTACCTCTTCACTACCCACACAACATGTAAAGGACTGTATTCTTGGCTCCGTGTCTTATGTGGGAGGGACTTCCCCATTACTCCATGAAGTCATGGGCATTGCCAGGAGTAAAACAGAAGGCTTGGTAAGTTTAGTCCTTTGTAAGAAATCCAATCCTTCTGGTGATAAGATGGTTATTTATGGCAGAGGTAACCTTTCTGTTCCAACATTGTTATTATTGCACAGTTGTTACCTACACTCGCTCCATCCATGACAAGGACAGTTTTTCCAGGAGAGACTTGGGAAAGGTAGTGTAAAGCTGTGTATGCTCGGACACCATCACGAACAGTCCCGGCCGCTTCAACCCAACAGACTTTTTCTGGTTTACGAACTAATTTTGGTGAAAAACAAACAAACAAACAAACCATATGGGGTGAAAAAAACCCCGGCAGGTTCCTGACATTTCACTCAGAATTATTTTTCATACCATCCATTTCTAAAACATGAAAAAGTTATACAAGTCAAATCATCTACAGGTGTAATTGTGATCTGTTTCTCAAAGGCCATATTCCGATGTTGTGGTTCATGGCAGTGTTCGGTCAGCTACATGGAGTCCAAGTGGAATAGGCAGTGGTTATTCCAAGAATAATCAGTTTGCTTCTGCAGCACTCTTGTGAGCAAGTACAAATGCAAGTGCAAATACAAGTACAGTATTTAAACTGGAAAAAATAAAGAGAGACCCACTTCCTTCCATCACCTCCTGACAGAAATGATCTGAGGAGGCATCTTCTCCTTTTCACAGAGATAATTCTGACACAGAGAACATACAGTGCAAGTTCCAACCCATCGGTTAGAATCTTCTCCTTCGTAATTCATTGGTATAAATAGCTTCTGAGGTTATAACACATTTTAAGAGAGATAAAGATCATGATAATATTATTTGTCATCTCAGGGTTTTTTTTTTTGTCTCTACAAGACAATTTTTCCCATTCTACCCACACGCTTAAAAGCCTGGGGAGGTAACGTTAATGAAGTACTCTGTTAACTAGAAATTGCAAGTTCAAACACCATTTTTCATGCAAGCAATTTACATGATTTAGCAGAGACCTTGACACTAAGCTAGAAAAATCACAGCCCAGCTGAGAGTCTAGCACAGAACCAAACAAAGTAAGCGCAGTCCCCTTGAGGCACACTAGAAAGGAAGACGACTGGAGAAGTTTGGTCTGCCCCTTTAAACATAAGAGTTGCCAGTTTAGCCTGAGTTGGGAAAGCTATAAAACAACATAAGCAATGGGATCACCTGGAATCATTTATCAGTGTGCTGGAAAAGAATTCTAGGGATCATCTCCAGCATCATCACTTTGTGCACCAGTTCATACTACTTAGCACAAAGTAAGCTACTGAAGGTTAATTCAAAGTCAGAAATATCTTCTGCCTCCAGCTGCTGCCAACAGCGACAAGGCAGCACAGACGTCTAGACTTCATTTTGCTTGATTTGTACTTTTAAGTGCTAGAAAGAATAAGCCTTATTTTTACCTCCATGAGTCTGTGACTTATTTTGCAAAAACTGTCATAGGTAGTCAGAAAGATTTCATCTTCAAACAAGTCAACATAAATAATACTTGCTTACCTATCATATATATTAAAAACACAAGCAGAGGATATTTTACACAATAAAAGTAGGGATTTGGTTTTGGTATAAACCAATTTGAAGGAATCCTCTTATAACTACACAGGTTGAACTCATGGACAGCCACAGAAACACACTACAAACTAATTTTAGCAAAAGAGCAGCTTGCTCAACGTAACACAACAACTTCTGGGAGAAGCAGAGAGATTCCCAAATTTAATATTCTACATATTAAAGCACTTCATGTCCAGAAAGGGAGAACTGGAAACGCACAATAATTGAAAAGAAGGTCTTAATACTAGGTTTTTCCTGATCCTCATCCCATGAAAATTCCTTTCTCCAGCCTCTAGTATGCTAACTTTATCTCATCTGTTAGTCCAGTCACGAGTGATACTCTTGGATTTAGTCAAAGTGAGGCAAAAAGCAAACTTCTCATTTAATTTTGTGACATATGAAGAAAGAGTAGAAAGACAATGACGCAAAGAGGGAAGTTAGAAGAGGGGGGAAAAAAAGAGCCAGCTTTTGTGGTTTAGGCAAAACATTAACCCATTAAATGATAACAGCAAAGAAAAAGCCCTTGAGAGTACAGAGCATTCAAAGCTTCTATGAACATGTGGAGTAGACACAATGTCTGAATGTTGTTATACAAAACAAATTTGCCCAGAGGTCCAAGTTAATTAGGTCCCTATTAGAAAAGCTAAACTGAAGTCTAAAGATGCAGTAAATGTAAATATTAGCAAAATACATGAACTACATACCCAAATAATGCTCATGAACCAGAACGACTTCACAAAGACCAGACTCTTCAGAATCCAGAGGCAAAATTCCTGAAAAAAATAATTGAACATAGACCTTGAATTTCAGACAAGGATAGGTTATAACCAAGCCAAGCTATTAATAAAATCCTTAGTCCTGCTTTGGTTAGTGGTTCAGCTGCCCTCCTGTCAGGTTTACGATGGGTTAAGAAAACTTGGCAACAGCCTGTACTCTCTATGGGCACAGTGCACATGATGGGTCCAAGGGTGCTCCCAAAAGCCTTTTGGGGTTGGGGAGAGAAAGAATGGGGACACCACTGAGTGCTTTTAGCTACTGGCATGCCTCATTTTTGTCAGGTTATGTCTGAACTCACTGCACATTGCTCTCACTCTGATGAGTGCTCCTGTTTCTACTCTGGGCCATGGCTAATCTAGAAGGAAGCTGAGCTCTCAGGCTGCAGATGAGCACAGAACAAGCTACACTACAGATACCTCTACTCCTCCATCCTTATGCCTGTATGTGTGCTGTTAGCAAAGGGACAGAAAGAAGCAGAGGCAGAACCAACAAGAATGCGTGAGTGTAAGTTTTAAAAACATGGAATAGAGAAGAGAATTGAAGGGAAAAAAAAGCCCCTAACAACACCCATGGAAGACAGAGAAAGCAAATGGAGAGCATGCAGAAGAAAAAAAAAAATCTTGATCGCTACAGTGCTTTTTTCCACCAAAGGAGGTTCATGACCAGTAGGTTCTGGCATCCGATCAGTCTTCTGAATACATGTACCCTCTTTCCTCAGTAAACCAGTAAAACATCTTGTACCCCATTTAGACCAAAGCAAGGGCTCTGGCTTAAAGTCCTCAGCAAATTTGGCTGCTATTTAGCAGTCTTTCACAATTCCCATTAAAAAACAAAACAAAACAAAACCCAAACTGTGACCCTACAGTGCCTGTATACATCTTCAGATCTCTCAAGGGTTTATCTGAGGAATAGTAACAAAAAGTCCAAAGTAGCCATCTACAGCTGCTAGAGTACAATTAGGAAATAATGCAAGAAGGGCAAGATTCTCAGAATAGAGCACCCTTTCTTGCAACATCACTACCAATTCTGTCTTACTTCCATAACTTAAGTCACCTGCTAATTCTTCAATTTAGCATATGAAACAAGCATATAGAAAGAATGTCCCTAACAATGTGTCTTTATCCTAAAGCATCGTTCAGTTTTTGATGATGAATACAGTATCACATCTCAAATGTTAAGAAAACTATTCTTATAGTACACTAAAAAGAACCTTGGCTCCTAAGCCAGTTTGCATTCTAATACCTTACTACAGCAAAAGCAAAACACAGAATGAATAATCCATGAAGACATTCCTTTTCTTGACAAACGCAGAAGTTAGGAACGAGTCACGTTGTCTTCTAACACTCAAGACAGCCTCCAAGGAGTCATTATACACTGCCATCAGCTCACATTGATTTCAGGGTCTCTAAAGCCATTCACAAAACCACGATCCTTGTACTGAGGGAAAGACATATGGCATCTTAAAGAACCGAGACTAGTAATAAGCCTCGTAATGCTTACAGAAGCTCCAGCACGAAGCATAGGCCTTTGTTTTATGTACGCTGTACTCCTCAAGCTTTTGACACAGGTACCAAACTAGATTTTTCAACTTCATTGTCAGAAATACTCCACGTAGCGTAGGGCTTTCGCTCATTGATTATTTATGCGTTCAGTAACGGGGCGTATGGAAGAACTGCCCCGCAAACTGGCAGTACCAGTAAATCTAAGCAGGTACCTTTATATGTAGGTTCACGTCTCCAACTATCTGCGGCCAATTTGACCCTCAGAATATTTTTCCCTGCACTTATTTTAATGAGGAACATGGCATAGCTGATCGCTAACAGATTCTGAGCACAACAAATAAGACAGACTGTAACTTTAGTAAGATTTTAGGAACAATTAATGATTTAACACACCAAGTACTTCCAGTGAGCACAGTACTATTCTTACATGAAAAAGAGAGTAGATTCATAAATAAGGACCCTATTACCATATTATTACTGTTAAACTCAGTCTTTTTTGGTAAAATTCAAGTAGAAATATTTATTTCTTCTAGGGCTTATTTATTTTAGGGCTAAAAATATTTAATGCTGTTTTTTTCATCTTCCTGTTCCATACATGTAGTTCTGACATTTTTGTACCTGCCTTTGCAAACATTCAGTATTCAAGAATAAAAAACATCTCAGACAAAATATCTGATTCTTTCATGCCCCAAGTACAGATTCCATTCCCTTTATATTTGCTTTACCTTGAAGTAGCTCAGCTCATTCACAGAGTAGAAGGGGTTGGAAGGGACCTCTAGAGATCTTCTAGTCCAACCCCCTGCCAGAGCAGGATCACCTAGAGTAGATTCAAACTAATTATTCTAGACTTGAATTAACTAGAAGGGAATCGATTCCTAATTCACAAGAATAACTCCAACCCTCCTACAGCCACTTAAACCTCTCAGGTCCACTGATGTATTTTCAGAGGTGGGTTATATTTCCCCTAACTACTTACTGACACTGTATTCCTTCAGCTACAACAGAAGGTGACTGAAACACAAACACTACCTTAAAATACTCAACAGATGCAGCATATGTCAGTAAGATATTTAACCAAATGAGCAATACTATTCACAATAATGATACTATTCATAGTTCAAAGATAATTCATATGCCACAAGACCAGAAAATGTCTGGCCATAACTGTTCTACTTTATTAAACAAAGCAAAGCCACCTCTGTATCCCATAAAATGGAATATTAATTCCCAACTGTTAGAATTACACCTTTTGTGGTGAATAATAATCACACATTTTATTCCATTAGATTTAAGCTAATGACATGAAAGGTCTGCTAAAGTTTTATTAGAAAAGCTCCAAAAAAAGAAAAAGAAAAGAAAATTATTAGAAAAGAAAAGCTCCAAACACTTTCCAAGTGATTTTTGTCCTGGAAGTCTGTTTTACACACAAACAAAAAAAGTACAGTGATTACCACTCGCCTTTCTGATGGGTTTCTTTGACAATAACGTCATGAAGCATGGACTCCTTGTGGTTAAATTAAGGGGGAAACAAGAACTCTAACAAGCAGTAAAAATGAAGATTTTTGAAAACAAGCAGCTTGCATCAGTGTTTCTGATTTAAAAATGTGACACCTGAGTACTTGCACCGCTTTTGGCAACTCAAAGTCCAGTAGAACTGGTGAACCTTATTGCACATTTGAGTTTGGACCACTCTTAATTTCTTAATTCAGACAGGAATTGACATAACTTAGAAGAAACTGAACAGTCTTCAGTATGTGTGAACAAGTGTGTCATCACCAGCAGTTAAAAGTGTTTGTATCATCCTCAAGAAGGCAGGAAATACAAGCAAGCCTAGATTTTGTATCATCCACAGGAATCAGAAGATATTCATTGCATCAGGATGGTGTTATAAATACAAATAACAGTGTAATGTAGTCAGATGGTTACCTTCAGAACACTCACTCCATGTGGCTAATTGGACCCCAGTGTATATTCTTAAAGATTCCGTGATTGCAGTCGAACTCTGACAGATTACATTAGCTGGGACCTGAACTTGCTTTCTTATAACCAAGACACTTCACTGAGAGAACACTTTTAGAATACAATTCCCATTTATAAGAGTTTGTTCATATGACACTGGTTGAACCTTTTAAAATAAATGTCTAATTGTAGCTTTAGCAATGACTGTAACCTCAGCTGTTCATCACAAAAGAATTACTAATTGTGTAAGTTCATAAGGCGAACAAGCATTAACTTACCCACCACTTCATCATCCGGCCGAAAAAAGGTCACCTTTCTTCCAACTCATGAAGAATATATGAAAAGGAGGAAAGAAGGTAAAAAGATAAACATTTATAGCTGAAATTGAACTTGCAATTGAGAGCACTGTTTATCACCAGCTCACAAAACTAAAAATATACCCTGCTACTGAAAACAATTTTTCCTAGTAAATGTGCACATAGCAAATCCAAATGTTTAATTCTGTAAACTTTGACACCCCATAAACAAACAGTTACATGCAAGTACACGCACGTGTGTGTGTCTGAAAGATCTAGGCTTTAAACTACACATCAAAGGTGGATGTGCCAGTGAAATGTTGCCAAAATTCCTGAATGCCATTTTGTCTTTGCTATTCCAACAAATAATTTTTACAAATAAATTAAAGATTGTTATAGCACCTGCAGGTAACATCTTACAATCTCAGTATATTGTGGAGCTTGAGATCCTTAAGGAGGCAGGGAAGGTGTGCAGTATGCTTGCTACCCTGGACTTCTATGCCCAAAGAAGCTGTGGATGCCCCATCCCTGGAAGTGTTCAAGGCCAGGCTGGATGAGGCTTTGAGCAACCTGGTCTAGTGGAAGGTGTCCCTGCCCATGGCAGGGGGGTTGGAACTAGATGGTCTTTAAGGTCCTTTCCAACCCAAACCATCCTGTGATTCTAAGATATTCTACTTAGAAAGCTGTTGTGCATTTTTTTAAACTCTCAACAGCTATGCAGGAATTTCAATTCACTTCCTTTTTTCACTTTCATTTCAATATCACTACTGACTTAAGGAAAGCCTCATTAAGAAAGCAAATAGTTCCTACTATTAAAGGTGTACCATGCAAAAAGTAGTTTTGTTCTAGGTTAGCAGACCTTAATTCTTGTTCCACACCTTCACAAGACAATTACAGCAACTTACCTTCCAGTACAACTCCAGAAATTTCTCGACCAACAGGTAGAAGCTCCTTCTCAAGTTTCATTTCTGACAGGAGCTAAATGAAAATAATGGTTACAACATTCTTAGTAAGGCTCAAAATCTGCATATTTATTATAATCTTACAGTGTTTGATATTCCCAGTAGGAAAGTTGGGCCACTACCAAAATGTTATCTGGGGGAAAAAGTACACACATTCCTCACTTAATATTAAAAACTTTGCAGTGGTTTTCTGTATTTAAACTTAGAAGAATATAAAACAAATAAAAACAGTTACTAACCGGCAAGCCAAACTGGGACTTAACATCAGTATGCAGAGGATGATGAAAGGATTTACTGTAACAGAACTCAGAAATGACAACTGATCTTTCTCCATAAATTTAGAACAAAGTTACAGGTGCTTTTTATTTAACAAAATATGCAAGGATACCACATCAATCCTGTGCCCTCTTTCTCAGCAGTAAAGCATATCCTCAGATGGCATAAATGGAATTGTGCCAATTACCAGCTAAGGCCCTGACTTAGATCTTCAACAGAAACTGTAAACACCTCTACCTTTTGGGGAAAAAAAAAAAAAAAAAAAAGGCAAATACCTTTGTATCTATCCAGCTCAGTGCACACGCTCTAACTTGTACTTTCACATCATTGTCTCTTGTAGGAGGAAGGTTTTCCTAGGACAAATTTACAGACGTTACATTATACAATGCAACATGATTGTGCTAGTAGGATCCTCTTAAGCTCTTGAAAGCATTTAATTAGCCAAGTTGAGTCCTGGATTGCTGCCTCCACACAGCTGTTGAAGAGCTACCTCAGGTACTGGAGGCAACATCATGCATTTCCATGTTATACTGTACCCTGCAGTGTAGATGTCTGCTGAACTGAAAGTGAAATATTTACCAGAAAGCCATGAGAACTTTGTTTCTACTTCTGAAGTTAAGATACATTGTTAAGTGTTTAAGCTTTCTTTGATTTTTCTTTTAAACTCTTCCCAAGAAACAGCTGTTGCTTTTCTCCTAGGCTTAGCAACATGAACTTCTGTTTGAGGAATACTGAGCTGAACTTTTTCTTACCCCAGCTGAGTTAAACACATGCTGTTCCTTTAAAATTGCAAGGCATTTTGCCAGCCATAATGACCTCCTGCTCCTCAAACAAACCAAAGTGGGTTCTCAGTCTTTGTTCCACAAACCAGAAAAGCCATTAAACTATTGAACTATACAAATACTGCATCTCTGGTTTAAAAAAAGAAAAAAAAAAGTTAGAATCTAGGGGACTTAGGTAATTTATGTGAATCTAAGATGATATTGTCTTTTGGAAGTATCCTTTCGGTATGCATAGCTCAATGAACCTAAGTACTGCTACAAGGCACATAATTGCTTTTCTTTATAAAAAAATAAAAATCTTAAGAACAAAGAGAGACGATGAAATGTTTGTGCTGTTAACTGATTCCTGCCTTTATAATTTAACTATGTCATTATTAGGAACTGACCAAGCACCATATAAGGGAGGTTTGCTACGGAAATTCATCATCATCCACCTTCTCTTCTATCAAGGTCTCATTAGCCAACTATCTTTCTTTCTCCTCACTTTTTTCACTATTTATTTCTATTTAAGATAAGGACTCTATAATGCTGGTCATTACACAGACACCTGCAGAATCAGTTCCTGTCTGAAGAGATTTAAACAGGCAAGTAGGCAGACAAAGTCTCTGCGCTGAGTGCAGTTTCAGGATCTGCTTTAGCTTACCTAAGACAGTACCAGAGCTGTCTGGCTCACTAGTTTCCAGCATCTACATATTCCCATCCCCTCCTTTGTGCTGGAAGTGGCAATCATGGTGCCATCAGAATGATGTGAACTAACTTGTAAGAAATTACTAGCTTTCACCTGGGTAAGTAAGCTGATCCATCTCACCTTGACTCCTAAGAAGAAAACAAAAATGTGCTGCTGAAAGGTGAAAAAACCTTTTCAGCAAAAGCACAATATCACAATCAGTTAAAGTAGATCTAAGACTAATCCATGAATATGCACTTTGGTTGTATCAAAATCACACATCTCATTGCAGCCTTCTCTTCAGGCAATTAATTAGTTGTGCTTCACTACTGGCATATTGCAGCTGCTCAAGCAAGATTCTTACCAGGACCACATTGTTTCATTTGGATACATGGCTCATGGGTCTATGTAGGTATCTATATTACCCAGGTATACAAAGGTATCTATGCTAATTTACTCTGTAACTAGAAGAGATTTAAGAACTCAGGTTCACATCCTTAAAACCACGTAAGCATTTTTATACTGTTCAGACACCGATACTGCATCCTGTTTTATCCTTATACCATCAGCACATGTGTATGTACTTATCCAATTAATGTTTGCATCAAACTGACAAAGAGTCTGTAGCACAGTATTTTCAACTAAATTTGACAGGAAAATAGTTATCTTCTTGTTGTTACTTTTTGCTGTAGCAAAATAGGTAGCTAGACAAAGGAAACCTATCAATGCCTCTGAGAAAAAGGTTGCACTGTGATCTCAATCCTCCCTAAGAGCAAAGAAGGCACAAGAAGAAAGAACATTAACAGCAGGAACACTCCAAACATGATAAATTTCTCAAGCTATATTTCCACTTTTTCAGTGACCACAAAATCCAACCAGGAGATGTGAAATCCATGTAAAGACAGGTTTCATTTGTTATGCCTGCAAAATTTGTTTTTTAAAATACGGACACCAAAACTGCACAGAGAAATCTAGCACCAGTCTTGCCAAGTACTGCATGACAACAGCAAGATATACGTCCCCTTCTTCCATTTACCTGCCTGTGTACGCAAGGATTAAACCAGCTCTTTTTAAGTCTACAGAAGAGCTGTGTGCTTCAATTCCCTTGTGGCATTCAGCCACACTCTCTTCTTCGACTGAATGATTAATAGTGCTATTATGACCGGAACTCACCCTTTCCTGGAAGACAAACGTCATTTCCTCTCCAGACGAATTCTGCTGACAATACAAGGCCTTCATAGTGACCTGAAAAAAGGACACAGAGACCAAACTGTAATACATGCAGTAACTATGCAGTAAGCAAGTAATTACAGCTTTGCATTACTTTTTAAGCAGAAGAGTGGTTGTTTGCAAGCAACAAAGGGCCTATAAGTCCTTTCCACACCGAAGTTCTAAAACACATCAACAAATAAGGCAAGATATGGTGTTTGCTACAAGAGGTTACATCAATTATTGTTGACCATAATACAGCAAATATTAGGGACTGAGGACGTACAGCAAAAGGCAGTAAATGATGCACAGGATTTGCCAACTGGTGGTCCATTGCGGTAAATGGGTAGTTTACCACCCAGGCTAGAAGGCACACAATTTGAGTAGCTTAGCCAAAGACAAGAGCAGAGAACTAGTGCAAAAATACAAGGAACCTTACGTATAACTTAACTAAAAGTCACAACTTGGGTTCTTGGTCTCCTCTCCCAACTTGGCACATGTTGTCCTCGACAAATACGAGCCTTTGGGTGAGGAAAAGGCAAGTCTCTTCAAGTTACAGGAAAAAGAAAATCACAGAGCAGAAAGGTAGAAAACCACGCGGCCATTATACCCCTTCCGGCAGCCAACACCAACACCTCAGGGAACGCCAAAGGGCCTGCCCCAAGACACTTCTTTCAGAAAGCAGCGCGGCACGGTAACCGGGGCCCAGCACAAGCCCGCAGCGAGCCTCAGGCTCGGC